TTCGACAAAATATGCCCAAGTGTATACAAACCAATAAATGTCTAGCGTATGGTACCTTTTTTACGGTAGAAAGTACTGTGGATTATTTCTTGACGTCGGGTTTTTTCAATTTTTCATGGGTTATGGTGGTGTAAAGGGTAGAACAATTTAAGGTTTTGATATAATTTATTTCAGAGAATAACAGAGATTTTAAATGTGTCTGAAGTTCATTTGAGTTCTCAAAAATAAATATATGGTTAATATCACTACGACAGAAAACAGAATGACAGTATTTCTGTGAACCCTCTTGCACTACGGACGAATTTGGGTTAAACTAATGGACAATTTCTTAAAGTAACATACAGATTATCCGGCGATGTACCGTCTTTTGTGAATTTTACGTGTAACGTGCAATCAATACAACCAAGGTAAGATGTCAGATTTGTTGCTCATAAAAGTATTAAACGAGAACATGATGGACTTATGGTTTGCTAAGATATCATCCTCGTCAAAAATTACATGTCTGTACGTAGCATCACATAACGTTGATTTATTTCAAATTCTCAGATAAGACACTTGTTGTAAAAGGATTCACAGACAGATTGAAGCTGTTTCTGCAGAAACAACACCATATGTGTTGAAAGGAGAGCACAGTAATTTCACATTTTGTTGGTCTCTGAATACATACTTAGGTCGGACATTTACACAGTTCTTAAACTTGCGAATTCGACGATGTATCAAAGACTGAATTGCTTTTATAACACATTTTGAGAGAGTTTTTCGTGTTGCCCATACAAAACAGAGAAGCAACATTCATATACATTTATACGTTAAAAAAATCAACGTGTTTATGTAAAAACATGACATTGATGTACCAATGATAAACAGACAAATTATAAAAGTACTCACTAAATGTGGTAGTGACGCTGAAATGAAGTTCCTTTGTCGAAGATCTGTTGACAAGTTTAGTATAATCTAAATTCGTTGATTTGCTATCTGTTGACATGCTCGGCGTTGATGATGCTACAACTATTATTGATTTGATTGGCATTGATGGTCCTAAAAATATTGTTGACTTTTTCGATGCTAAAAATGCAGTTACGTCCGTCCTTTCATGAGACGAGGTTAAAATCGTCGTTGACGTGAATTTGCTTTCTTCTGCTGAGATTTCCTCTTTTGTACTTGATGTAGATCTTTCTCTTGTTGGTATTTCATCCTTTGTACTTGCTGTAGTAAACATTTCTGTGCAATATATTTACACATGTTTAAGTAAATTCTAAATCATACATTGAGGAATGATAAAATCAAGAAGTGTGTGCATAATCAAATTTCACCTTGATTGTGATAGTCCTTTTAATTGACAGTTTTGACTTTTCGACTGTTAACACTACACTTTAACATAATCGTATCAAACACATTTTTTGGTATTTGATGAAATAGTCGTTTGAAAAAATGTTGCAAAATTATTTGCTGTAACTCGTATAAAGCCTTATGGTAAGATGATAATCTTCTTCTTGATAAGATTTATGAACTTTTTGCAGTACAATTTATCGACAGGTTATAGGTGTTCCTATGGACACTAATTCAACCTCTCAATATCAAAGTTGTGCCTGTACTGTTATGGTTTATGGTCAAATTCAGTAAATACACGCCACAATATGTCCAATTATATTTCACTACCATGATCAAGTTTCCTATAAAGATCTTTATACCTCAATGTGATGCAATGGTTGTCTTAGCCAGCCTTTATCAATCAACTTTTTAAACCTATTTCTTTGATTTATTGTTAATGCTGTTGTTATTATTCTCGACCTGAATATGCTTGAAGTATTTGCTATTGGTCGTCGAACAGATAACAATTAATCAAAAATGATTGCAACAAAATACCGAAATATTAAATAAATATTTTTTTTTATATTTTACATTCATTTTCCTTTAATCAGTAATTTTACCTGATTACTTTAAATTTCTTAAATACGCATCTTTATCTGTTTTATTAAGGAACCCCTTCCACTGTCGACTCATCCGGTCTTGCTCCTAATGGAGTTTATACGATTTCTTCAGTTTTTGTTTGTTACCTTGATTTGTCTCTTCGAAATCGATTTACGAGATTTGAACATCATTCATCTTCTGTCACCTTAATTTATCCTTTTGAAAATTTTGTTAAGTAAACATGACCTATAGTCGTTTTTTTGTCATGGCATTGTAAGTTTGTTTTTGACTTATAAGTTTGAATATCTCTTTGGTATCTTTCGCCTTTCCTTTACAAATGCACTTTATTTCAATGTTCCTATTTTTATATTCGTTTTTTGAGAACATATTAAGTACTATGCAAAAATATTAAAAATCTTTACTAGTTTGACACTGTCTAATGACGGCTGGATCTCCTGGTTGTTTGAGTTTGCAGATGGTCGTGTACGTATTTACAAGGCAATGGAATATACTTAATCTTCCTGTACTTCACTGTTAAATATACACAATAAACATTCAACAATCCATCTACTTCATCTGAAAGAGATAATAACACAAATAGCTTGAATATTTTAATTAGTTTTTTTCGTAAATCGAAGTTTGATTTGGATGAAAATTGATATTAACACCTAAACCATACAACCATAAAAAATTGAAAGGAATTGATCAATTTTAAGAATGCGCTCCTTCAAAATCGTGTATGTCAACAACAGGTTGTTTTTAATAATTATCAAACTTTTTTAACATTAGAATTACGGAAATATTGAACGACTTGATATATTGCTATGAAAGTGGACTACAATTTAGGACATCTTATAGGATTTTTTAGGGAGGAATGTAAATTGTTTTAGACTTCACAAAAGCTCTGTCATTTTCCTAGTACATTTGAAGACGTCTTTAAAGCATAAAATAAAGCAGGAGGGGAAATGAAAGGTATCAAAACATAGGATTTCTACTGTGTTAACATGTCTCGTTTTATCGTCTTGTCTTTCAGAGTTTTAGAAGAATCACTTCTTTCTTCATGACAAATATTTTGAATATATAAATATCCTTAAAGTAAGCAAAGAAGTGTCTCATAACTTGGCCACAAACAGCGAGTTTGCTTTTTACAATTGGTCATTAGACTGATTTTTCGTTTATCACATCAAAACGTAAAACTCGTCTTGTTCATATAGCTTACAAGCAAAAAACCAACCAAATGTTAACTGTGATGCCGATATAAATTTGTTTAATAAAGTACGGACGTACCTAAAAACCAAGTGCACGTGACTGGTGTGTTGAATAAGACTAATTTAATACAATTTCTCTCTCACCATGATCAACATTTTGGTATATTATGCACATGAGAGGTTTAGCTAGCTATAAACCGGTTTAATCCACCATTTTCTACATAAGGAAATGCCTGTACCAAGTCAGGAATACGGCAGTTGTTTTCCATTCGTTCGATGTGTTTGAGCTTTTGATTCTGTCATTTGCTAAGGGACTTTCCGTTTTGAATTTTCCTTAGAGTTTGGTATTTTTGTTATTTTACTTTTTATGTATACTATTAAACATGGAGAATACGTGGAGTAGGGTTTATATCGCTTACATGTATATAGAGTGATCTGTGAGCAATTTCCAAAAAACCGATAATATTTGTTTAAAGAGGTCCTCTATATTATCATGAATTATCATTAATATTATCATTGATATGGTCATTGATATGGTCATAATTATAACAAAACTTTGAATCGTTTTAAAATACTATGGATTTTTTTCCCAGGAATATATTACCTTAGCTTTATTTTGCAAAACCTTTTGAAATTTTGGGTCTGTAATGCTCTTCAACTTCGTACTTAGTTTGACATTTTTATCTTTTTGATTCGAGTGTCACTAATGAATCTTTCGTAGATGAAACGCGCCTCTGTCATACAAAATTTCAACCGTGTTATCTATGATAAGTTTATTGTAAGGATGGAAAGTCTGTCAATAATTTCGGAAGACTGATATTGAGTTTTCTGAAAAGTCGTGCGGTTCCGATTCTCTCGTGTGTTTATTTAGCTACCCCCGATCATAGCTCCAAAAATATGTGTTTTGTGTACTTAATTCGATATCATATGTTAATATTACTACTACATGATTTGTATCTCATGTATTGGAATGTTATTATATGAAGATATCATTTGCACAGTATCAAATGCTTTGATTCTAGAACGAGCTTGATTTAACATAGAAAATAAATTAAAATCATTTTCCTTTACTCCAAAATCATCGACAGTTTTTCGTTGCTCAGTTTAGCTAATTGTGCTTCAATCATTTTAGGTATTTCAGCTACCCACAAAATTGTCTCGAGAATATGTTTTGCAGCTTGCAGACCATGTCTGCAGTTCTCTACAAGAAATTCATTTGAATACATAACGAATGGTGGACGTTAATGTGTGACCCGTTTTGTGTTTTTTCAAGTAGTCCTAACAAAAAAAATAAACTAACTTGAAAAATAAGGCTGAACATACCAAGAGCACATTCAAAAGTCAAGCGTCATAGACAAACGTATAAAAAAAAAAAAACAACGTAAAAACTAAAAAAGCCAACAAAACACTTCATAGAAAACTATAAACTGAGCAACACGAAAAAAAAAAAAAAAAAAAAAAACCCTCGGGTGATCTCAGCTGATGCTTTAGAAGCGTTATCAGATCCTGCTCACCATGTGATACTCATCGTTGTCCTCTTATAAAATACGTAAATAAGTAAATGCAAGTGATTAATCTGCACACTAGTTGATTGTAACTGACCATTATCTAACGCTAACATCACTAAATTCTTTAACCATCAGTTATGTAAATTTCAAACCTTAAACTTTACCAATTAAGAAACGTTCCTGCACTAAAGTTCTGACTCCTCAATGATCATGTTAACATGTTATGAGGACCGTTTTGGATCGAGTATCTTTAAGTTTACTTGCATGATTAATAAATACCATTATCGTTAACATAAACGCTACCAGAGGCTAGCGTTGTACGAACAATTCGAATTTAATGCAACAATTGTTAAACATATAAACCTACAGCAGATTTCATCGAATGATTCATTAGTTATCCATTTCAGAAACCTGGATCTAAAGATATTAGACCAGTTCTCTGTTCCATCCTCCAAATTATCAAGATTGTCGAAGATGCTAAGTATTGTCCCATTTAACGAGGAACACCTACTAATTGCCAACTGATAAGTTTCTGTGAATCCCATTTGTCTAGTAACTAAAATGGAAACAACAATTGTAGAGACTTGACCAAAGATATAAAAGTAACATATACAAAAAACAATGTATAATGATCCTCGTTGCGGACAGTTAATTTACGGAAGTCGACGATTAGATGATGGTGTTCACCAGTATAACTATCAACCCAACGGGAATGTTGTTATGATTTAATATACCAATCTTGTCAACATTAAACCTTAAATAAAAATAAATTATCAATTCACTCATTAATACATGCTATATGCAGAAAAAGCTCGAAATAAACTTGGAGCTACAAGCAACACAATGGAGATGCTTTCATTCCATCTTTGAAATGCAACGAACATTTGGATAGATTTTCCTGGTCAGTACAAACGTGTCCTGTTATAAAAAAATAAAAACCATTGATGGATAGAATATCTCGATGTAGACCGGTTTGAAACAGGTTAATGTATTACTAAATTCATTAGCGATTTATTAAAGTAATTACTAAATCGGATAAAAAATCTCCGCTGTAAGATTAATGGTTTGTTTTCGACGCAATGAAAAGTTAATATCGCCAACGTTAAAGGCAACTCCTACATTAAAATGTTATAAGGCACTTACAGAGCTGACCATACATTGAGTGTATCTGTACGCTATTAACATGATTAATGTATCGTACTTTCCTTAACCTATTTTACCCTGTATATTTGCTCCGTAAATTGTGTATCAAAGCTTTATTACTGTGGAAAACAGAACTGATTACGACGTAACATTGACATCAGAAGATTTCAGTTAACTTTCAAAAGGACAAACAAGCTAAACAGATGGGAAGTTGACACTGCCAACACTTGTTCACCTTACTGCAACATTATTGAGAGGAAATTAAAATAATTGTCATACATATACGCAAGTTATCATCCCAAAATATAATGTTGTGAAGGCTTCAATTTTAAACACATTGGGCAGGAGGTTTTCTGACTGTCTAGCCCGCCAGATATTGGGATTACTATTAACACTAACAAAAATAAGTAATATTTCAATGTAACTTAACCTTCATTCCAATCAGGAAAGGGAAATAGTTACCAAATGGAAACCAATTGTCCCATTTTTTATTTTATTTTGAGAGCTATTGACTCACAAATTAATAGTGATCTTCTCCTATCTAATGTCTTACATCAGTATCAGTACTATTTCCATGCAAATCAAGCTCGGGAAATTAAGTTCTCATCCGGAAAACAATTGGTTGAGTACAAACAGTCGAATAGACGAATGACAGGACGGACAAAGACATTGACTATTTGTCCTGAAATGTTGTTGGTAGCATAAAATATGTTTATGGGACGCAAAATTGATAATTGTATCAACAAATAATCACTTTAAAACTTCATATTGTGAATTGTGGCTAATATTTTATGATATCAATATGCAATATTTCCTATAATTTACACTTTTCCATTTTTGAGTGAAGAATATGTACAGATGTTAATCATTAAATGAGTATGTGAAACAACGTCATGTAATAACAGCGCAAGGTTATAATGAATCGATGCAGTATACATTCAATTTTGTAAAAGGATCAATTAAAGTTATATAAAAACAAGTTTTAGAGAAAGTATGTTAATCCTGATAACTAGTAAGTGTAATTATTATATAACTGTATACTATTGAATCAGGAATGAAAATTGGAAACCTTACTTTTCTTGACAAAATTTACCTCCATATATTACACATATTGTCCAGTATTTTGAATAGCAGTCAACAACTTTCAATACAAACGTATCATTTCTAGGCACAATAACGGAACAGGCAAGTTTTTGATCGACATCACTTTTGGGTTGTAATTTTCCTATGAATTAAATAAATATCTATAAAAATAAATTTACACAAATTTAATTGCTTACTGTAGTGTTAATGAATTACCTATTCTATCTTACACACATCTATACATTACGAAATCGATATATTTAAAATACTATTAGTTCTTGAACTAATAAAAACAAGGGTATGTATTTATAAAGGTTACTCGGGGACACGTGTATTTGTTTACTTTAAGCATGTTTATGTTTAATTTGATTGGACAAACAGTAAGTTATTACCGGTTTAGGTAATATTAATCATGATAACTTCATGCTAGCATTTAAGCGCTAAATTATAGTATTATAGTCTAGAATTGTCATTCGAGGTTCGCCTATCCGATATACAGTGTCGTTTTCGTAAATTGTCAACTGGTAAAATGTCCGAATCGTCTCCACATCTAGAATTGAACGAAGACCTTCTACTTGCAGGAGATATACCGCAACCTAAGATTCCTACAGCAGCTGATAAGTCGTCTGATTTGGTTGATACCGCAGAGCTTTTCAAGACTATCTTAGACAGCAAATCAGGTGAGTTGAAGTCAGAACTCATCCAAGAGCAAGACAGCCTTAAGAGAAAGATTAAGGAAGACGTCACTTTAAAGTTCAAGGGTGAAGGTAACAGAATCCAATACACTTTTAACGAGGAATTATTAGAAACAGTAAACAAACTGTTAAAATTCATCCCTTCCTCTAATACGCAAGCCTATAAAATAGTTCTTGATCTTACAGATAAGCTTAGAGGCCGTAATAAGAAAATTCGCATAGCTGATCTTCCCCTGCTGGGTGGGGAACCGTAAAGGAATATGAAGCCAATGCCGTGGCTTCAGATTCTGAAGATGAGAGACCAGAGCTATCCGTACCTCTAAGGAGAAGTCTAAATCTCGCCAGCAACCTTACCCTAAGAATCCGCCTCGTCAACAACCTGCAGAATCTTATGGTAACCCTGCTTATGCTCAGCATTATCAACGTACTCACCAGCCGCCCTTTCGTGGGAGCTTCGCAAGGCGTGAGCCTTGCTCACTCGACATGTGCCACTACTGCAAGCAGCAAGGCCACTGGAGAAAGAACTGTCCTCTTCTCGCCAGCTCTAGGTCATCCAACAGCAACTCCACAACCTACCAAAAGTCGTAAAGTAGAGCCTGCACTTCACTCTTCAGCCATCGTGAATGATAAGTATTTAGATAATGACCAATTTTCAATATGCTTTCACGATAACGATCATATAGAATTTTTTTTTAGAACAAGTTCAATATTTTGAAAATTGTCAGTCATACGACAATTTTAAAGGGGTGAAAAGTAGATTAGCAAGTCATATAAAGTATTGGAAAAATATAGGCGCTTGTCCTTTTGTGCTTGATACAATCAAGAATGGTTATGTTATCCCATTTATAGATACACCTTCTAATATGTATCACACAAATAATAGATCAGCAAGGCAGATTACCGAATTTGTCACAAAGGCAATTGAAGATTTAGTTCAAATAGGTTGCGTAATAAAAGTGCCTTTCCAACCATATGTGGTAAATCCATTGAGTGTTGCTACTCAAAAGTCCGGTAAGAAACGACTTATTTTAGATATGAGTCAATTGAATAAACACATAAAGCGCGAAAAAAATAAAATTCGAGGACTGGAAGATAGCTTTACAATATTTTGACTAAAATATGAATCTGTTTAAATTTGACCTTAAATTTGGTTATTTTCACATCGACATCTGCCCACAGCAACAGACTTTCTTAGGTTTTCAGTGGGAAGGTCAATTTTATTGTTACACTGTTTTAGCCTTCGGAATTACTACTGGTCCGTACATTTTTACCAAATGTTTAAAGCCACTAGTAAAATTTTGGCGTGAAAACGGTATAAAAGTTGTTTTGTATTTAGATGATGGATTTGGCATGAGTCCAGATGAAAATACATGTAATGAGCAGTCGTCCTTCGTGAGAAGGTCTTTGGTTGATGCTGGTTTCCTTATAAAGGAAGAAAAGTCTGTATTTAAACCTGTTACTGAGTTAGAATGGTTGGGAATAGTATGGAACTCGAAAGAATACAAATTGTCTATTACTCAACGTCGAGTTTGCGATTTAATTTCCTCATTGAATGTTATTTCGGCTAATTTTCCTTATATTACAGCTAGATCTTTAGCTCAGGTCGTAGGCAGAATTATTTCTATGACTCCCGTAATCGGAAATGTGGCAAGAATCATGTCAAAGTTCTGTTACATGGAAATTGAAAGTATAATCGGGTGGGATAATCCCATTTCAGGGTATAAACCCGTCGAAGTCTTATCAGAGTTAAAGTTCTGGTTAGAAAATGTCACTCTGATTAACTGTCGTAAATTAAGTCATTACAGTAAATCGTCTGCTGTTATATACTCAGATGCTAGTAATATTGCCGCCGGTGCATATACCGTTGAATTAGAAAATAAGATTTTCCATTAGATGTGGACATGTAGTGAAATGGTGCAAAGCTCCACCTGGAGAGAGCTTAAAGCAATAGAGTTAGCCCTATTTTCTTTTAAAAATAGTTTCACGGGAAAAACTATAAAGTGGTTTACTGACAATCAAAATTGCGTCAAAATTGTTAATTCGGGAAGTATAAAAGAAAGCTTCATATTATAGCAAAATCGATGTTTTCATTTTGCATTAAGAAAGGAATATCAATTGATATTCAATGGATTCCCAGAAAAGAAAATGAAAAGGCTGATTATATCAGTAAAATGGTTGATTTCGAGGACTGGGGAGTCACACATATATTTTTCAATTTTTTAAGTGATATGTGGGGTCCTTATTCGATTGACAGATTTGCTAGTGTCGAAAATAGAAAAGTTTTGAGATTTAATTCCTTATTTTGGCAACCTGATTCTGAAGCAGTTGATGCGTTCTCTCAAGTTTGGACCAATGAAAATAATTGGCTGGTTCCACCAATTAATCTTGTGATTAGATCGATTAAACACATTATAGCTTGTAAAGCTCGAGGCACGTTAGTTGTGCCTAAGTGGACTTCTGCTGCATTCTGGCCATTGATATTCGATAAACATTTGATTATAAAGATGTTATTGTGTTTAAAAATACTGATGGTATTTATGAACAAGGTTCTAATAAGAATACGATATTCGGAGTTGAACCGTTTGGTTCGCCAGTTTTGGCTGTTTTGCTAGATGCGTCTTAGACATGGCCCTTATATATGTAAATATATTTTAGCAGGCATGGTCTGTTTGTTACATGGCCCTAGTATATGTATATATATATTGTAGCAGGCATGGTTTTTTATGTTGACATGGCCCTAGTATCGGTAATGATATTGTAGCAAGCATGGTCAGTTGTTTTACAGTACGTGGCCCTAGTATCTATAATGATATTGTAGCTGGCGTGGTAATATTGAATATATATATTATATTTTACTCTGTGTATAGATATTTGAAATATGCGAATAATTCGTTCTCTGTATATGTATATAAAATGTTATTGCAATTTTACGTTTTTCAGATATTTTTTCAGTAGGACAGTGGTCAGAGTTTAATTTACAAGTTGCCTCTAATAATGAGCTGAGCAGTTTGTTCAACCAGTTACCAGATTTCCTTCTTTCATCCAAGGCTGAGAGTACTCAGAAGAAATATAGATATGCCTTCAATTCATGGTGTAAGTGAACTAGTCAATATTCTTTTTCACCATTATCGGCATCTCATTTGCATATTTCTTTATATTTAATTCATTTGTCTGAAACTGCAAAATCTGTTTCTAAATTAAATGATGCTTTTTACGCCATAAAATGGGCACACAAATTAGCTGGCGTTGCTGATCCCAGTGAAAATAATCTAGTTGCATCTGTTCTTGATGGGGCTCATAGAAAAATAGGTCATTCAGTTATTAAAAAAGAACCTATCACACCACACATTTTGAAAAATATTGTATGTAAATATGCTAATAATACTTGTAATTTAAAAGATGTAAGAATAGCATGTATGTGTTTATTAGCATATGCTGGTTTTTTAAGATTCTCCGAGTTAGCTAACTTGAGAAGGTCTGATATACAGTTTTCCCCTACTTACCTTACACTTTATTTAGTCAAGAGTAAAACTGATGTATATAGGGAAGGGAGAGATGTTGTCATTTCAAAAACAGGGAATGTTACATGCCCGGTAGATGTACTTCAGCGTTATCTAAAGTTAGCTAACATTCCGGAAGAATCTAATGAATTCATTTTTAGATCAATTTGTTATTGTAAATCTTTGAACATATACAAACTTAGAAAGACTAGTCATATTTCCTACACTTGAGCCAGAGAGTTATTGTTATCAGCACTTGACAGTTTATGTCTTGATAAAAGACAGTTTGGCTTACATAGTTTGAGGTCAGGAGGAGCTACTGCCGCGGCAGAAGCTGGAATAGATGATCGATTGTTTAAGAAACACGGGAGATGGAAAAGTGATAAAGCCAAATATGGCTATGTTAAAGAGATCTAGAGTATACAAAACAGATTGTCAGTCTCAAAACATTTAGGCTTGTAATATTTTATTACTATTTACTATTTTCATTTATTTATTTATATAATTTTTTTTCTATTTTCTATTTGTCCCTTTCTTTATCATTCGAGGCTTTCTGTGCTGTCGGGGCGAGCTGATAACCAAATAACGGTGTTGAGTTGTTCTTTATAAATGATTTATGTTCGTTTGAAGTATTGAATAAGAACATAAATGTATTTATAAAGGTTACTCGGGGACACGTGTATTTGTTTACTTTAAGCACGTGCGTTCAAATCAAAACATGTTTATGTTTAATTTGATTGGACAAACAGTAAGTTATTACCGGTTTAGGTAATATTAATCATGATAACTTCATGCTAGAATTTAAGCGCTAAATTATAGTATTATAGTCTAGAATTGTCATTCGAGGTTCGCCTATCCGACAGTACAGTATCGTTTCCCACCCACCCACCCTTTCAAGACTTCATAAGAAAGTACATAGTATGCTATGTAGTAAATAGAATATATGA